TTTAGTCACATGACTTGCAGGAAAACCCAGCTTGTCAGTCAATCTAATTTTATTTAAACCAAACGTTAAGACAATTCCTTACCTAAGATTCATTACAGCTTAACCATTACACCTCCCGGATCTCATTGTAAGTATGCCCTATCTATTCTTAATTAACATTTGTTTTGTCAAGCTATTGCATAACTTCACAATTTTTTTTCAAAAATGAAGTTTCGTGCACAAGAGTACGAACAGTCACTCCAGTCCATCGTGACTGACAGCACGGTAAGGTGGTACTGGTCTTCTCGAAAATTTAGACAGATGTCATTCCGGTGAGTGAGGGCATTTATGAGATAACCATTCCGTTAAAATGTTCCTATGTCCATGTCGGTTTTAAAGGAAAAACTTAAAAAATTAATCTAGTGACATTACAATTAAACACAAATTGTAAACATGGAGATGACCTTTTTTCTGTATGAAATGATGAATTGATGTGAGGAATGCGATCGTCTATTTTTAAACCTTACAGTTTTAAAGTTTACAGTTAAGCAGTTTTAACACAGTTTAACCATCAATTTCACTTAAGCTAATGCAGTGCTTTTCAGTATTAAAAAAAATACAATTTCAATGTTTGACAAATATAAATAACCCTTTCCCTTGCAAAGTACAAAAAAAATAGATAAATTGTTTCTTTGAAGGAATTGTTAAACGTATTGTGAAGCAGACGACTCTTGATTGATGATATTTGTCCATCTTCAGGAGTGGTTTTTTTCCTGGTACGTTGTATGTGATACTGACGTAATCCAAGTACACCATGTTCTAACTCCATTTATATATAGATTAAAATATGTTAGATTCAATTCTTTCAAAAGTTCATGAATCTTCATTAAATGCATTTTATCCCTGTTGAGAATAACTTTTATATCTTTTTATATAAAGATGAAGTAAATGAGAAAGAAATTTGATGTTATCATTAAAGTTACTTTAGGGTTTTGACCGTTTGGTCTTGAAATTGGTTAATGATAGACTAAAATGTCTGTCTTAACTTTCATTATCCAGTACATGTCCAGATAAGTGTTTGGCCAATTTCATTTGTGCAAAGAACGGCGTAAGTCATAAATGAAGTAAGCCGGTGAAAAACAAATGTAAATTATTGTCATCTCCCTCGGGAGATGACACATTAAGTTTGAATCACCGGAAGTAAAGTCCTAGTGTAAGCTGCCATTGATAAGCTGGTGGTCTGGCAAAGGAACTGATGATGACACGATTTCTAAATATAGAGATGTAAACAAAATTGACCAAAGTCTGTCTTATTATTATTAAACAAAATGGTCCATCTTAAAGTTAAAATAAAACTACACCAGTGTTCATTAAGAGTAATAGAGGTAGGATCACTTGGGTGGTGGTGGGTCTTCATTAACGGTTTATGTACATAAACATTGTATCTAGGTTATTGCGTAAAACGATGGTCAGCGCGTGGGGATCAAAATACACAAAACATGGCATATTGAATGTATAAGCCAAGGCGTGGATCCAAGATTTACTGACGAAAGAAAACAGTGAAAACATTTAAATAACAACTCACATTAAATGCATATATACAATGGCAAAAACTTTACTTTTATGTACACTTTAGTCAGTCGATAATTAATGCCGTATATATATGAAAAATGAAAAAAAAAAAATTCGAAGAAAAGAAATTTTACCTGAAAGCACAATTTAGGCAGAAACATAAATGTCTCTGATTTAAGTAACTCAGTGCTGCAGGCATTGGAATAAAGATCATAAAGAATCATTATATGAGTATTTTCTCGGATGTGTGCAGTATATTCTTTTTTATTTAAATTTTCCCCTGTAGAAAAGTATTAGGAAAAGATACAGTTTTCTTTACCTGGCTCAGATTTTAAGAATTAATAAACAAAGCAACTGTTATCATTTTCTTTATGCAATTCTAATTTGCGTTTTTTGTCAATGAGAAAAGGTGAAAAAAAATCACTCCTCGTATTCTTGAAATAAAGCCAAAATTATAAAATGTGTGTCTCAGGGAACAGCCTATAAAATCGATGTTGGTAGATTGGGGTTCTTTGGAGTGTTAATGCTTAAAGCGACAGTTCGGCTGCAAAATGTGTGCTTTTTCATCCAAATTTACCCAATATGTCATTAAGAAATAAGGTATAAAGTTGATGTAAGCAGTTTGAGAAACAGAAATATTCTCTACTCAAACAAAATTAACGTAATTAGAATCTGCCGGAAAATTAAGGGTCGTACGAACTGGAGCAATCTTAGATCTGTTTATTTGTACCACGTGAATTCTAAAACGGCACGTGCCTACACTGTAGAGTTTACAGTTGTAATGAATATTAGGTGAAAGCAATTTTTAAAAAACACAAATTATCATAACTTTCTGATAAAACAATCTAAAATAATAATCGTAAAGATTTTAGTCTGCATTCAGGCGAGGAAGGAAAAACCAACTAATCATACCATGCATACGTTATCGCGGCAAATGTCAAACAAAATATTTTTCTGCACAGTTAAGAAAAGTTAGCATTTCAAATGGCAACAATTTTTATAAGTCAAAGATGTATTTTTTATGTTGAGTTTACACTATTGTTTTTCTTTGAAAGCGACGGAAAAATGAGAAATGATAACAAGTATCAACAAACCTGTCGAATAGAACCTTCGAGAGCCCTGCGTGAGTGTCGCCGAGTTCCCGTTTCTTCCTTATCCAGCGATTATATTAATCCCCAAACTAAAGTTTAGTCAGGAAAGTTGCTTTTTCAAGTTCTATTTTCAGTTTCTTTTTATTTTTAGTCGACTTTGTCAATGTAGCAGGCCTACCCGAGCCTACCGGGATTCCCTCTCTAACCATGCTGTTTTGTTTATGAAAACTACGCATGCGTGCATAGCATGGAATGTGGAACCCCGAACACGTTGCGATGTATATATTTACGTCCCATAAATAACTATTAATTTTAATGAAATAATCCAAATTATTTAATTGTAAAAGTTGTAATTTTCTGAAAGCTTATACATTTATGAGTAGTAAAAAAATTCCAAATCTTGTCGGAAAATTTTATCTAGTCAGTTTTTTGATGAGATGCGCCGTACTGTCACTTTAATTTTAAATGGTAACGTTTCAAATTTATTACCTTTCTATGCATGATTTTTTCCCAGGAGGGTATACATGTACATGTCCTTATATTATACATAATATAGCGTTAGAACATGAATCTGCATGGGCAGCAGAAGGACATGATGCAGGAGTTTTTCAATTTTTCCCTTGATATTCCCAGTGGCTCGATAATCAATCAAATCCCAGTGGCTCGCTGGTCAAGTCACTTCAGAGGATACGATTAAGGAAAATAAGGAAAGTCTTGGGAATTAATTCGGGTTCAGATTGATTTAAGTTGGCGCTTTAAAACTTCTTTGCTGCCGTAGTAGGCGGCTAAGAACTAAAGTCAAAAGGAAGCTATAGCTTAGTTTTTATCCATCTTCTTTCGGAATAATTGTTAAAGCTATATATATGGCGTATCTGAGCTAAAAAAAAAAACGAGATTGGGTGTAGCTAAACATGATATATGTTATTTACGTTGAAATTAAATTTTTCACCGATTTTGAACTTGAATAACCTCATATTTCCATAGTTCGACTGATTAAAAAAAAATTAAACTGTGTCTGTTGATTAAAATCTGAATCGGTAAATAAATCGGTTTTTGTTTTAAATTTCTAATATCTTTGAAACGTGATTGATTTAAACTGTGTAATTTACAGGAAAGTCCTATTTTTATATAAGTAATAAAATAAATAGATAGATCTTTTTTAATTTAGGTAGTCTGAACTTATAAAAAAAAAACGCAATACATGACTTTAAATAATTCTTACGCATATTTCTCAGTGGTTAGAATTTTTTACAGACATTATACAAAATATATTTAAACTGAATAAAGCATATTTACAACAGGCAAAATATTACAGGCACATAGCACCAGGAGGGCCGTCCCCTTCCACTTTTTACCCCAAACGTTGAAAAGGCGCACCCTTGACCCCTCTTCCACCTTTTGTTGCAGCATGGTACGTCAAATCATCCCATGAGAATGTATTATAATATAAAATATGTTTGTCGGAAAAGTTGTAATCCCTCCTTCCAAGAAATGAAAATGTTGAGTTTGGATAGCCCCTTTTTCCCCTTGTCAAAGATTGTTCAGATAAATCGTCTATAATTTTTTTTTGTCCTCCACCCCCCCCCCCCCCATTTTTTTCAAAAGCGATACTACTGGCTGTAATAACTGAGAAAATAATATAACATTCCACTGTTTATTCTTTGACATTAATGAAGCCAAAGAGATGACATTTCAGACTTTCTGGAAAGCCAAACTTGTTTTCAATTATGATCAATTAATGTACATCTATCACTTTAAGCTTTGCATCTTAGCGGGAAAAAAGTTGAATAATTCGGAAAATCATGGACCTCATGAAGATTTTTTTTTTTTTTTTTTTTTTACAAAATAATAAATTTTAAATGAACATTTATTTAATAAATGCAAAGAAATCAGGCACATGCCGATTTGTTGAAAAGTTTCTATATATAACAACTCATTATATCTTCCAGCCATTCTAAAACCGGTGAATTCCTCGACGGTCGTTACAAACAGGCGAGATCGGCATGCGCCGGCGAACCTATCCCGGTCAATGAAGCAACAAGCCGGGTTACCAAGGGACAAGCGGGCGCAATCGGCGTAGCCAATTTGAAAAATTACGACCTACCGTTGACGCAACCCTTTTCAATATCACAGCTGTACATGTAGTACATTTTAAACTGATTTTAACCTTTGAATTGGTAGAACACTTGCAATCAAGAGCATGCGCTGTCAGAAAGTAGGTGCTTAATAACTTAGAGCTAACACAACAATCAAGATTTCAATTGTAAGTACATGTACTTTACAATGCGACCAAATCACCATGGTTTGTTATATGCTATAGTAGTACAATAAAATACCAGCGAATTTATTAATTTTTCTGTGCGTATAGTTTTTGAATGGTGGGAATTCCTGAAAGTTTAATTGTTACAAGAATACGTGGATGTTCTTGGTAGATTTGAGAAAATGGGAAACGTTAATTGTGCTAGAAGACAGGAGTCGACACCAGCAGAAATCCAAGCAGAATCAGTGAGAAATCAGGATGAAAACTGCCAGTCCACTAAATGTGATAGTGCCGGGTGTGTATTAAAAATCTTTATATTAAACATAAACAGAATTATTTATTTATTTATGATTTAATGTTTTGCTACATGCAGAATGGTGTGTGTGTGTGTGTGTGTGTGTGTGTGTGTGTTTTCAATATAATTCATTTGAATGAAACAATAGATCCCAAAAGTGGATGCGCGTAAATGTCACGACAGAGGATGACAAACAGATTAGTAATACAATTTTTTTTACCCATGCTTCTTTGTCTTTTTAGGCGTGTCTTATGCAAATACAACGATAAAAATGTTGTTTTAAGTAAGCTCAAATTATTTTCTGCATCGAAAGTCGAGAATTTTCTGCAAAAAAGTCAAATCTTATTGAGAAACATTTAGAAAACCACTGATAACCTTTTGGGGTAGCCAGGTCTGGTGTTACATACATTATCATGATCACACATAGGCCTAAGGGATCTCACACTGTGTGTTGTGAAACGTTTTCACTAGAAATTATAGTCATCATTTAGAAATAAGGGAACACTTTCACAAATAACTTATATTTGCTAGAAGTCAGTAATAAGGGATCACTTGTTTCATACAATAAATCTTCCTGTAAAAACTTCATCAATGTATAACTTGTTTACAAGGTCTCATCCTGAAGCTAGTGTCGCAACAGAAAAAACCGAATCTCCATCCTTCTCGTGCGAAGACATCGCGGAAATGAGTGAGAAGTTAAAACTAGGAGCTTTTGTTTTTATGGTAACTAATTTATTTTTTTTAGATTTGTGTTTAATAGAATATTTAATAGAATGCTACGAAAACTTAGAAGCCGGTGTAAAGACGAATAATGACCCATGTGGAATAGTTATTCGTCTTTACACCGGTCTTACACGTATGTGTCTGATCATGATAAACATATATACATGTATATATTCTTTGACAGGATTAACAGTATCTAAAATTCTAGATTTATATTTAAAGGGGAAGAAAAGTAATCCAGAGGATCACTGCTATGATTTATTATCAGAAGGTAAAAAGCCTGGCTTTTGTGTAAATTTCACATATTTAAACATGGTTAGCGAACCCTAATCTTCAAGAGCTTTTTTTTTAAATTAAACTATTTGCCTATGAAGAGTAATAAGCTAAACTTTGAAAATGAAGATGAACAAAAAAGGGGAGATTTGTTATTTGTTATTAATTACGAAAGCTTATTAGTGCCACGTACGTAATATTTTTTTTCAAACTTGGCAATTCCAAAATTTAAAGTTGGCTTTTCCAACTTTAAGTTGGTAATTACAACTTTAATCTTGGCTTTTCCAATCTTTAAAACTTTAAAGTTGGAATTACCATCTTTAAAGTTGGAATTACCAACTTAAAAAAAATTACGTGGCACAAATACGCTTCTGTAATTAATTCATGTAGAATTAACTCAGGTGACCTATTGTTATCCGTTCGCCTCCGTCGTGTGTCGTCCGTCAGCTTTTGGACATTTTCAGCTACTTCCTTGAAATAATGGAACAAAGAACAAGGTACGGTTTCAATACAAATCTTGCCCTGTGTTTTTCTTAAAAATAAAAGTGATGTAAAAAATCAAAACTCATGCTTTTTGAATTATTGAAATTCCATGCAGAAAGATCATACAAATCTTTTTTCTCACATGACCTTCCAAATGCTAATTGTGACGTCATAAACTTGTGCATTTTCCCGTATTTTCTTAAAAAGTTGCAGAAGACATCAATTTTCAATGGAATTTTCTTTCAGATAATATTGTCCACAGGCATCGCCCACAAAGATTTTGAGATATGTGATTTTTCAAAGAATTTTACACAACATATCTAAAAATTAACGTGGGCGAAGGCTGTGGACACTATTTCCTTAAGGAAAATAACCCTTGAAATGGGTCATTTTGAGGCTTTTTCTGTTTAAAATAGAGAAATGCATCAAATTAATGACGTCATATATCCAGAATGGTACTCCACCATGCTATATTCTTTCCAGATTTATTACAGTCATATACTCAACTAATATTTAAGCCAGTTTCAAAACTTTTTGAAAACATTAAATTTTTAGGGCACAATAACGCTAAAACCATACCTTCTTCTTTAAACTGATTTTGTATATAGAGAGTACATTAATCTTTAGATTATTTCACTTTACTCATTGACATCTAACAGGCAGGCTTAAAATTTTGCATGATCTGAATGAGTCGTTAGACAAATGATTAAATTCATGTCCTCTCTCCTCCATTCCGGTTCAAGATCAACGGTGAGGATAAGTTGGTCATATACTGGTAGTTAAAACTTATGATCGTTTATCTTTGAAAATCGTTTATTTATTCCTGGATATCTAGTAAGCAAATTGAATGGAACCCTTTACAAATTATAATTATGGGTAGGGCAGAGATCGTCAACTCATGAAAAAACAAACAAACAAAAAACTCATGACACTCAGTCAAGGCCCAAGGGCGACATGTTACTTTACGGTGATATCGATCCCAAGAGTATGCATATAAATCTTCATAAGTCGTGATCTCCCGGTATTCAGTTTGTAGGATTTAAGAACACCACCAAGTGAAGTAAAAAAAAATCATTAAAATTTTCTTGAATATTTTCTTCTTTTCGCTTCACCCCTCCCCCTTTAAAAAAGGTCGGGGAAAAAACTAATCTTGAATTTTCATTTGATACAGATGCAGAACTATACACGAACTGTATGGTTCTGATTAAAAGGGAACGAACAAAGACCCTGGTATTTCAGCCCTCGAAAAGAAGGGATCTGTTCTTATATAACGACAATGGTGTGTTGGCAGTCAAAAGGGTGAAGGATTTCAGGACGGATGAAAATTGTAAATTACTTTTTAAGGTCATTTCATAATTTTTTTTTTCAAGGCAAGACTATAATAAATACTTTAAAAATAGTTTATTCTATGATTTAAGAATACCAAATTACATTGTCATAAGTTTGTAATCAATAACAGGTCACTTTGTACAAACTGGCTCAATAAGCATTGGTCCAAATCCAAAGAGAATATACACTTTCCAGTCCGCAGTAAACACTTCCATGTACTTAGGGGTCAATGATGATATGACCTTTGGATTAACCGTAAGTTATTATGAATAATAATGAATATTTGAAGAATAGTTGATGAGTAAATGAGACTTATTTGTTGCAAAATGTGTTTTTTTTTTAATTTGTCCCGCGCTTTCGCGAAAGCGAGGTAACTTTAAATCACATTCGTCTGTCTAGCTGTGCTGTCCGTCTCAATGTCAGTGTATCACAAAAACTTTAATCTTGGTCATAACTTTGAATGAAAAAAAGTACGGCTTTCATATTTCAGATGTGCATTATATAACAAGACCTTTCCAAATATACTATAGTTTTTTACCCTGTGACCTTGACCTTAGAGTTTGACCTACTTTCAAAAATTTTTAAAAATGCTGATACCTTTTGAATGAGAGAGTATAGAGCTTTCACATTCCACATGTACATTACCTATGACTTTTCCAAATATTCTATGACCTACTTTAAAAAAATAACTTTTGAATGAGAGACGATAGGGCATTATGTGCATCACCAGAGACCAGACCTTTCCGATTGTCTACATGCATGGCCTTGAACTTGAGGTTAAATCTAATTTTCTAACTTTTGAATGAAAGAAGATATGACTTTAATATTTTACATGAACATTACCCTTGTCAACACCTTTCAGAAAGTAGCATTCATTTTTGACCTCATCACTTTGACCTACTTTTTTCATAAGTTATAAATTAAGCCGTAATTTTTGCACCAGAAGATACAGGTCTGCGCTTTCATGAATTTCACGTGCATTAATTGTAACAAAACCTTTCAGAATGTTTTATGATATTTGACCTCATGACCTTGAAGTTTGATGCGGTTTTCAGAAACTTTTATCTTGGTCCTAACTTTTATTGATTCAAAATTATTAATTTTTTATATGATGAACAGACAGGACAAACACACACACGACAGTTAAAGTATGCCATAAATATATTGCATCCCAACTAATTAGACCTCGAAAGCGGGGGACCGCAATTCTCTGAATTATATATAATATATATATATATATATATATATATATATATATATATATATATATATATATATATATATATATATATATATATATATATATATATATATATATATGTATATATATATATATAATTTTGATTGTAGGATATCAATAAAGCGTCAGACACAGATTTTGAGAAGCGTTTGTGTGTTCGAAAACCGTATGAAAGGTTTCTCAAGCCAAACAAAGGTAGCTATGAAATTAAGAATAATATCATATAAAATATTAAAATATATTAAATATTTGGTATGTTAGTATGATTAAAAATGCTGTTATTACTATTTCAGGATGTATCTTTAACATAATTATGTAGCATCTGTTACCATATGTTTCCTTACTTCAGGGGGGAATGTTATATTCACAATTTGTATTAACTTATGTAGTTCAACAATCCCCCCCTCTTTTTGTGTTTTTAAAAAAACTTACTTTTTGTTGATAGTACACGCAAGACTTCCGTGTATTTTTTAAAACATGTGCCTAAGAGGTCGTAGCGCACCCTTACGTCATAATTTCTTAGAAAATATCCTTCGGGCTACTTGTTCTAAATTCCTTAACTTAAGATTTTTATTTGTTGACTTTTTTAGTCTTACTTTATAATTCCAACTTCAGTATTTTAGCTTTTTTCTACTGAAGATAAAAAAAAAATTAAAAATCTTTTATGTTACAAAGATTTATCAGTTTCCTCTGGGGGTGGGGGGGGGGGGGTATTCATGTCTTCAGAAAAAGCGGACAAATAGATTTTGTATTCATTAAAACCCAAACAGAAGATGGTAGAAACTTCAGCTTATGAAATACATTTTATCAAGCTCTGTTATTTTTTTTCAGATACAGTGGTTCTGTATAGCAGTGATTCCGGTTTTGTGGTTGAGAAGGATAAGGTGATAACGGACCCTAACCCACTACACGGTTACTGCTATTACTATGAAGGCCAAGGACTTGTGCAAATTGTTATTAGAAACAATGTGGTGTTTGTAGATTCAGTTGATTATTATCCATTTTGAGACAAATTGTAAGGGAGTTTACTTCTGACGGTAGTTTTGGTGCATGCAGATAAAGCAAGAGTGTGTTCAGAATAGCAACAGCCATGTAAATGTAGGCGAAACGGTTGGAAATATGTAGTTTATGTATTTTATACAGCTTTTTAAAAAAAAATATGTTATCATCTTTTCAATAGAAATGATCAGGAGAGAGTATTTGCTGAACTGTTGCTGTCTTTGTACATACATATCCTCATCTCAAATTATATATAAGTATATGTAATTCATATACATGTAATTATAAATACTAGTAATATAGTAATTTTATATTGAACTCGACTTTATATGACTACTGTATACAGGGTTATTTTCGCCCTTTTACGCTTGTACACAATTTAACTTCGCCTCGACACAGTTGTGTTGAAAGACAGATAAACTCTGTTTCTATTGCATTCGCCTGTTTGAATTTGCCCACCTTTACTAACATGGCGAAAGGGGCAAAAAAGTTTCCCCTACACAGTATGTCATAGTGTTATTCAGATCTTTTCTATCCATCTCTATCAGAGTAAGATCCCCCTCCCCGAATAGCTGACTCTAGAGTAGAATCCCTCCCCCCTCCCCTCCCCTCCCCCGAAAAAAGTAACTAGGGTTTCCCCCACGGAAAGCTGGCTTAGAGTAGAATTTCGTCAACGGAAATCGCACCCTGGAATCAGCTTTCCGAGAGGTAAAATTTTACTCTAGGGTAGAACGTCCCTCCTAGAGCCAGTTTTCCCCTCCCCTATTAGTAATGCCCTGCACATCCTAGTATATTTCATTTTTGACTACAATGAAAATAAGTATTACGTAAGAAAAAAACATATTTATTATTTTCAAGATTTAAATTACTACTTAATATACATCATAAAAAGAATTTAATGAATCAGACTGACATTTTTATAATGCACCTTTTTTATTTCAGTATGTCCATGTCAGTTTTATTCAAAGCTTGAATTAGTACACCTATTGATGCTGAACGGAAATTATTTCTTAAATGAAATAAACGTTTATTTTCAAAATTGTATACATTTGCAGCAATATTTAGTTGCTTGGATTTAATGTTTTATGTTGTATACATGAAAATATATAGGCAATGCGCATCTTACAGCTCATCCAAAACTTAAATCAAGTTGATAGCTGTATTTTTCTTGCCTGGTCAGTGCCTGATATCACTTCTCTCAAAAGAAATAAAAGCGGAGGGGGTGTAGAATCCTTACAGGTTCTAGAATGCCATAAATTCTCCTAAAAATCATACATGTATCTACATCCTTTAAAGAATATGTTGAATTTGATTTCTACCCCTTAAATGAAATTAAACATGCATATGTACATATGTATATACCGGTATTTGATATCGGCCATCGTGCTTGATAAATGTTCCCAATCATAAAGAACTTAAAATATGGAGACTTAAACAAATATAGGGTCAGCTGTCTCTTAATTCTTATTAATATTTAATATAATAAATAGATAAACACTGCTACTATACATGGTTTCCATTTGATGCAAACATAAAGGATATTACAAATGTAAGTTCTTGGATCACCTGGCTCACTCCAGTGACCTGATGCTATTCTTTTTGTCCGCCGGTCGTAAACTTTTGAAAATTTCAGCTTCTTCTCTGAAACAGCTGAACCAATTTCAACCAATTTTGGTACATAGCATCTTTGGGTATATGAAAACAAATATTTTAGATTTCATGGTCTCTGTCTCCCTCTGCAAACTTAAAAAAAAATCTTCTTTACTTCAGTCTATCAAGGAGACATAACGATATACTATTATGATATCCTCACCCAGGGTGAGGCCCATTTAGTCATATCTTTTAAACTTATTATACAGTGCTCCTTAAAAATCTTAATTATTCTTGGACTTTTAGGGAATTAAAAAAACTTCATATATGATTTAGCCATAATCATATTTCTGAAATGTGTGTCCCTAGAGCTCATACCTGAGAGTTGGTCTAAGTTGAACATATATTTAAAAGTACTTCACTTTATCTGTTCTAGTCCTTATCATCTAAGAACAAGTTTCACGAGGAAGATAATTAGGGCCCCGCAAGGATTTGCGGGTGCCCTATAGTAATCAATCTGTCTGTCTGTCTGTCCGTCTGTCATTCTTCCGTCCACAAATTTTCTGTTTTTTTTTTCTAATAACTTTTTTTGTAGTTGACCAACTAAGTTCAAATTTGGTACATGTATGTTGGTTGAAGACGCAGTAAGACATATTTTGATGTTAAGTTTGGTTCTCTATGTCATCCAGTTTGGAGCTGGGGTGGTGGGGTAGATTCCTTAACTTTACATTAGAATGAATGCCAGGGCAAAGAGAGATAACTGCTGAGAATGTTCCTATTGTAAACTATGAAAGCTGCAACTAGTCCCATGGTTTAATTAACTTTCCTCTTGAAGAAAATCCAAAGCATTATCTGTTTCTGTCAAATTGAGATTAATTAACACCTCTGTCTGCAAATGAAGATTGTTTTGAAGTTAAGGTTAATTCTGAATGATGTTTACATTCTCTGAAATGTGGATTTAAATAATGTTCATACTTTATTTTGGTAAATATACAATAGGTTATGATTTTATTGAATTTTAAAAACAAGATATACATAAAGATATGCTTTTTTTATTTTTTTGTTTTTATTTATTTTATTTATTCATTTATTTATTTTTTTTTTTATTTTTTTATTTTTTTTTTTTGCTGCCGTATGTAAATTCAAGAATACTATTAATTTTAACGAGTAGTCCAAAAATAAACTCATTGTATCATTACTGAAAGAGTTCTTATTGTAAACTTGGAAGAAAAGGATGAGAGAGCAGTACAATTAATCCCTTGGGATTAATTATCTTGTCTGGGGCTTATCTTTATTTGTCACTTTAAAATAAATTAACCTTCGTCTGCAACTGATTTTTTTTTTTTTTTTTTTTTTTTTTAGCTAAGGTCAAGCCTGGGTGATATTTGTATTCACTGAAGGCTGGCATTTTATAAAACACATGCTTTATTCTTGTTTAAATATACATTTAATTGAGTTATTATAGATATGATGTTTTTACTGCCTTATGTTAATACAGGGATACTCTTCTTCATATATTTTTAAATTTTTGTAATCAATTTAAATTCTCATTTTGTAAGCTGCACCCTTATATTACTACCCCTCGGCGGGGCCCTTGCTGACTGGTCAGTTTTCTAGTGAACATAGAGTCCTCACCAGATCCAGATAGGACTGTATTGTTTATTTCAAAAGAAACTAATGACACTCAGGTGACCATCAAAGCCCATGGGCCTCCTTTTTAATGGTCATTGGGTAGAGACGCAGATAGACTAGAGCTTAGATACCTATAGGCTGTTGCTAGTTCTCTGTGCTTTAGAGGTATTTTCAGTGAGTTTTAAGACATTCAAAAATTGGTAACCAATAAGTATAATTTATAAATACATATATATTGTGAGAATAACAGTTGGTTAAACCTAATCGAAATTACAATTTCTCGAACAAAATATAAACAGATACAGGAGTGAATGAAATTTAAATCAGGAAAAAAAGTTGCACATTGAAATATATATAGGATTTTTTAAAAATTATATTTTTGCTTTTAATATTTAATATCTTCCAAAGAGAAAACGATAATACAGCAGACAGGCCGCCTATTTATTACATCGTGTACGATTCAAATGCTGAAGAAAATAAATTGAACAAACTTAGATACAAAAAATGCATTTTTACTCTCTACATATACGTACTTATGCTTATTCAAAAATTACCATAGCAAGCTTTTATATCATGCTACATTTTTGCATACTTAAGAAGCGTCAATTTTTACATAAACCCTTTTTACTGTTTAGCTATTGGCATAATTTCAGACTTAATTTAGGAGATACAGATGTTAAAAACATTTAGTACTATCTATCAATGAAACAACAATGAAAAATGCTTTTTTTTGGTTGAAAAATATAACTACGTTATATTTTGAACTCGCTCATTTTGCATCCATAAATAATAACCTGTGTCATAGAGTAATAGAGTAGGATCCCCCCCCCCCCCGAAAAATTCTAATCTAAGGCAGAATTTCCCCCGGGGGAGAAATCCTGCTCTCGAGCAGACTTTCCATGGAAGGGTTGGGACTCCTACTTTAGAGTGAATTTCCCACTTTATTATGAACCAGAGTGGGGTTTCTCCTTAATGTTATAATCAGCTTGTACATTTTCTAAATCTTTCTGGAATTTGAACATGTAAATTGTACATTTGACAAAGCACATTTTGTAAACGGTTTTAAAATTTGTACTCGCAAAATATGCATTTGGAATGTTATCAGTCTCAGATTGTGTCAATACGTGTACAAAATGGCAAGTGACAAAAACAAAACCTTGGATGTTCAAAACACACAGCAGTTTAGCTAGATATATCCCTACTCCAGCATGCCTAAGTGGCGGATCCAGATTCTTGAAAAAAAGGGGGGGGGGCAACCATTTGGGTGTCTGGGGTGGGGACCCAGGGTTGGGCTCTAGAAGCTTTCAGATTTTAGGAGTTTTATTTTCAGGTTTTTTTTGACTTATCTAAAGTTATATTTTGCGTATAATTAATGCAATATCCCCCAACAAATAATTTCTTTATTAATCTTGTGTAGGGGCGGACCCCTGGGCCCCCTCTGAATCTGCCAATGAGTCTAGATATTTTATTCCCGAGAGAGAGAGAGAAAGAGAGAGAGAGAATTAGATATCCATTCTTGTTTCGTTTTCTTTGATGGCTCTCAATATATCATATATCTTGCAATTGGTCAAATATTTGTGTAAATATCATATGGGTTCCAAAAGTTTAACGTTTACAAATTCGCTACAGCTACATATGTTCATCATCAAAGCCACGGTAGGGGGGGGGGGGGGGAGTTGACACATGCATGTATAAGCTTGATAAGTAAGAAGGAATTTGACTTAAATTCAAGTTGTTTAATCCAAAAAATAGCAATTTTGTAAAAAGGCAATATAACCCTTTTGTAGGAAAAAAGATTGCATATTTGAGTCAGAACTTTTATCTAGCATTTTCCTGCTCATTTGCTAGAAAGAAAAGGCACCTGTAAAGATGCAAATACTGTAACATTAGGCCTCTCTCCCAACTGCACCGGTCACCATCTAGGAATCTTAACTTTGACCTAGTTAATTCATCACACGCGGCACGAATTCCTGTCACTGTTGCAAGTATTACAAAGCAGACGACCTCCAGCAGCCGCTCTACCGATTTCCCGCACTTTCTCAGATTTCACCCATCCCACTTAGCAGGCTAGGAGAGGCATCGCCATGGGTAAGGTCTTATATTTTTATGGGGATTAGATTTACACTTGTTAATACATGAAGAATCTTCATGCATCTCTCAAGACAAGTGTTTCTAAGTCCGTGCTGATATTTATTTGAGCATTGTTTGGAGTTCCAAATAAGCCAGTGCGGCCTATGTACTAGTAGTCCTTTTTTAAGCTTATAGAATGATGAGAATTTGACTTTCAGGCCCGTAGGAAGCTATTTCAATTGGAGGGTTGGGGCATCAAACATTTTCAGTTTTTTGAGGGGGGGGGGGGGGCACCACCAAGAAATATTCCTTGACGTGCAAGAAAAGGTCATCAGACGTTATTATTGAGGGGGTACAAGCAAAATGTAGCTACGTTTTAGTTAGTTTGGTATACATATTTTTAAATATGTGATTATCCAGCAAGTTTTTAAAAAAATAAAAATGCATATTGGGAAAGACGATGGGGACTTTAAGAATGAAATATACAGACATATTACAATCGGACGAGAAATGATTAATCATCAGACTAAGTATTAAGTCGTACAGAAACAGTGCTCGTCTGTTGTTGACATTTTCATGCAGTCTGCAACCTGTTGAGATTTTTTTGACTTTTTATAAAACAACAGAACCCCATTCATTTACATTTGCTCTAATGATAAGGTGAAGGGGATTCCATACTGGGGGTGTTTAATTAATTGGGGAAAAGAAAAAGACCAATAACAAATCAAAACCACTGTAAATTTGGGGATTTTCTACACTAAATTCAGATTGTTCAAACATTCACCACATCCCCCCTCCAATATCAAGTTTATCATTTGTTATAGATGAAAATGTTAATCCCCTCCTCAAGAATACGTATGTACTACGATTTGCTTTTTTATCAACTAGCTTCCCTTGCAGTCTTGATTCAAACATTTTCACTTCTCATAACTCTATTTTGTACTTTGTTGCTTTTTCTGGAGGATTTCCACCCACCCACCCCCCCCCCCCCCCGTCTACCCTATAACCTTAACATCTATTGAGGCCTTTCTTCCTGTTGGGGGGGGGGGGGGGCTTATGTTTTGAGAGAAAAAAAAACAAAGATAAATATTTATCAACTATTGGATTAATTCTGAAGTCTACTATTTTGAGTTCACAATGCTGCAAAGTACGTACAATGTACAATCGCCTGAGATTCCAAGTATTAGTATAAAATGCCTTCAACACTTTCAGCGATGAGTGTCCATTGTGGTATTAGGTCAAAATAATGATGGCGATTTTTTCATAAAGCTCATTAATGTTCATCTTCCCTCTCAGTGTCATCCTCACAAACTCCGAAATCACAAAACCTTGACATTGTGAGGATGTCTCAGTGTTCAATCATACAAAATCTTGCTTTTCCAATGAAATCTAAATCATAACTGATATGCAAAGAAATTCAGCAAAATTTGTCAGAATAGCCATTTATTTCAATGAGTTATCTCTCTTACCATGAAAGATTTTAGTAAGAACAACGAATGATCAATCTCTTACCCATTTCTTCAAAATTGTCCAGAAAAATAGTATAAATACTGAATTAGGCTTTCCTTGGTCAATATTATAGATTTTTTTAGTAAAAACAAAAAAGTCATTACATCTTTAAATTTCCATATGCAGGTTCCATACAAATACGTCCAAATCATGACTTCTGAGTTTTTGTTTGAGCCACAAATATTGGTTCAAATCTTACAAATGATATCTACATTTTCAGAGGAGATTGCCAATCATATTGATCAATCTAATGATATGTGATATGTCTATCTACAAAGTCCTTATAACATTGATTTTCATAATTTTTAAAAAGAGTTCGGATTCATTGAACTCATAACCGAACGAATTAAGCCTCCTTTGAACTGTTGAAGATTTAGGTCCCCTTAATATGTCCTCATTTCAATTAAATTGCTTATTACTTTTTTTCAGATCGATTTCCGCCTCACAAAGTTCTTATATTAGAAAGCTCGTTCCGACAGTCGCCATATCCATCAGACCAGGAAATACAAAGCTTAGCACAGCGTCTGAAAGAAAAAACCAAACGTATCAAGGTAAGTTTTTCTGTTGTATTATTCCCTCGCAACGAAGTTGGAGAGAATACAGTAAAGCAGTTGTGTGCGAGTGGGTGAGTGAGTGAGTGCGTGCGTAACGGAAATTACGCATGTAATAATTTATATCAGGATCGATGTGCCCTTTTGCGAGGGGACGCTCCACTTTGCGATGCCCTTGTTATAGTTTAACAAGTATATTCAGAGAATTCTGGTTTCGGGATCTTATTGGTCGGGGTAAAGTTTCAAGGCAGCCCGTAGCATTGTTTTCAAAAGTTGGGGGGGGGGGACTTCCCCCAAAAATCTGACAAGCAGAAAAAAAAACCAAAAAGTGAGGGGGCCTACTTTCCAAAATAATCTAACAAGCCAAAAAAAAAAAAACTAATTAACCGTCCAAATCATGGAATTTGCAACTGCTCGACCTTACTGCAACAAAAAGTGGGGGTGGGGGCAACCAGCATTTAAAGAAAAATTTACTATAGGAAAATACTATACTCAGAAAAAGTCCCCCCCCCCCGCGTTCTACGGGTCATGAGGTCATTCTGAAATGTCTTGTCACAATAATACTCATCTTAAATATAGAAGCCCTCATTTATAAGTTATGACCAAGATTATAAAGTGTTATATAACAGACAGACAAACAGAATAATTGACGAATGAGTTTTAATGTCCTTGGGCTTTCTCAAAAGCAGGGAGCAATAAAATTGAAATGTTCTGCATGATACCATTGTTACCAATATGAAGGAAAGTAAAATTTAAGGTAGGCCGATCCTCAGGTTCTGAAAATCAGGCATTGATTAATTGAAAATGCTCACAAAAATGTCTCTGAATTCTCAAAGTAATGTGAATTTACCCACTGCAATTGTTCAAACTTAATCATTAAAGTTAATTATATTATATAGGAAAAAATTAGTAAATCTCAAGTAAAATTTCAGGAAATGCGAATAAAGACACCTACTATGCATTTTCTAATTAGAAATTGATCAACAAAAACATTTTAGGATAAAAAACAATAGGTATCCAGGCATTGAAGAAAATTGCATGATTTTATACTTAAACAGTACTTTAGTTTCTTCTATGTACTTCGATTATTTTATAATGCATAGTTTATAAAGTGTTCCCTATCAATTCAAAACACCATAAATCATTTCTAATTTCATATCATGCTAATTTGAATTGGTATCTAAGGCTAAATTAAAGGAAAAGTCAATTTCTTTAAATCTGTATTTTTAACATACCTTTATAGGGTAAAAATATCAACGTTTTAAAAGACTGTTTCTAAAATTTCAAAGAACCTGGAATCACATTGAGATGCATAAAATGAAAATTGTTGCATGAAAAGATTTCATATTTTAACTTCATTTTGAGACTTTTTGAATTAAACAATAAATCAAAGAGTTATCCTTCCTGGCTGAGGATCGGATAGCCTTGTCACATTAACATTATGACATTAAATATATGCAGTATGTATGCAATTACACAATAAAGCGTAAAAATAAAAAAAAAGTTAGTTAAAAAAAATCTTCTGGAAAATTTGCAAAAGAAAAAAAAATCGTATTCTATAGCATACTTTAAGTTTTGATTATCTCATTTCTACTTTGTAGACTTGGTTTTCAAATAGACGTACAAAAGCAAAGAGGATTCTTGCTAAAATTCGCAACCAATCGGAGAAGCGAGTTCATTTCAAATGTGTGCGTGGAAAATACATTTGGAAGGCTTGTTCATCTAATACAGTCATTCATCCATCAAATACGTCAGCTCTCATTACGCATTCTTCATCATTCGATATGTGTCTATCAACGTCTGACGTCATTGTGTCCAACCAATCCTCTACACCACTAGAAATTGCACCACCCAATCACATAACCAGTTCCGGTCAAAGAATAACCAGAACCAAACGCCCCAGATCATGTTTTACCTGCGAATCAGAAAACAATATAGCTGCTGATCGGAAGGAACGGTATGCACGTGGTCGACGGTACGACGGGTATGATCGAAAAACTCTTCAGGAAAGAATGGAAAATCCGCAGTACGACGGGTATGGTCGAAAAACACTTCAGGAAAGAATGGAAAATCCGCAGTATACGACGGGTATGATTGGATAGCAGATTTAGAGTACCAGGAACTTATGCAAGAAATGGACACTCAGTGAGAGAAAGATTTGGTTGTGTTCAAATAAATACAGCACTGGAAAAAATAAAATTGTAAAAAATACCATACAGAAAAGAGGAATCAGACAATTTTATAAGAGAAATTTACATATGAAAGACTAGATAATTTTCTATCAATATTAAAAACATCTAACAAAGCAATCCTGAGCCAAAGACTCCAGGGAGCTTTTCTGATCGGAATTTGTCTGTTACCTGTCGTTGACGTTGTCGTCGTTATCGTAAAATTTTCATCTTCTCCAGAACAACTGGGCAAATTTCAACCGAACTTGGCACAAAGTGTTAAAGTTTTTCAAATGTAGGTCAAAGGTCACATGATCAAAAATTTCTGTACCAATGGAAAGGTCTTGTCATAATGAACACTCATGTCAAATATTAAAGCCTTACCCTTGACAGCGCAATAGTTATGGGCTAGGTTAAAGTTGATAACAGACAAACAGACAGGACAAAAACAATATATTCCCGGGATCTTTCGATACGGGGGTATAACAAACGCGCACAATGACAGCTGTTGGACAGAGATGATTAACTTAACCATCTCATAGCTCTTCGATCTGATCTTGGAGCAGTAAGCCCAGTACACAAAACTGAAATTTTTAGAATGAGCATACCGCGGGTATGATTTTTTAGTAAAACGTTAATTCTGTATTATTTTTTGGATTTTTCTTATGGAATACATTGTAAATGTGTACTAGAAGAATAATTTATGAAAAAAAAATACATAAAAATATTTTTTGACCTGTGGGATATATGAATGTCAGACACTTCGGCCCAACGACACCTCGGCCCAACGACATCTCGGCCCATTGACACCTCGGCCCCGACGGGTCGGCCCAAGATTTGAGACACCTCGGCTCACGTAAAAGACACCTCGGCACAAACAAAAATGTATTATTTTAAACATATTTATTTGATATTTTCTTAAGTATTTTATTATTATAGGGATTATATGCGACGGATTATATTATTATATATATCCATGAAATAAAAAAGAAAATAATTGAATAATCTTCCGAGAGTAAATTGACGGTAATTAAAAAAAAAATTGTCTATCACATAGTGCTAATCGTTAAACAAACAAGAAGACGCAGCGCATCCTTCGAAGTCTCAAGCGCGTGTCATATGGGGTGGTGACAATGAGGAGTTAATTACGAGCAGGCTAAAAAGAATCAATTAAGACATCTTATTGATCAGGACAGAATACCTAAGGACATATGCTACTGTGCACTGGTTTATAAATATAATTATTATATATAGTTAAGTGTACAATACGCCCCTACTACAAAGTGATTTTTAAGTAAAAGAATTCTAAATATTATGAAATGAATAAAGTTGCATTTTCATAAGCAACAAAATAAATAAATAAATAGATCTCCTATCTCCCACTCAATAAATACAGCAGCTGACATCTATGCTGTCGTTCGTTCAAAAATTCTGAAATTATTTGCCCGTTTATCGTATACATATCGTCATTATAAACATACATACATTTATATTACCATAGTGAATACAGATAATTATTCTAAAAAAAAAATTCCTTGGGCCGAGGTGTCTTTAGTATGGGCCGAGGTGTCAATAATTTTGGGCCGATCTGTCAGGGCCGAGGTGTCAAGCGCGACGGGCCGAGGTGTCGTTGGGCCGAGGTGTCTGTCTACCGGATATATTCGGGGGGGGGGGGGGGGAGGGTCCTGTCCACAAGTACCTGTGGTGAACATCTATGGAAAACATTTTTATGTTTGTCAATATATTTGCAACTATATTTCACTAGAAAAAAGAATAGGGCCTAACCTTTTACTTGTTTTAATGTTTTGCAAATTTCTCAAAAGGAACACCCTGCAGACGCCATACTGACTGCTTTTGAAAAGTCTTGCACTCTCTTCTAGCGTCAAACACCGAAAACAGTGTAATTTTTTCTGAGTTTTAAAATAAGTACAAACATAAAGTACAAAGAAAAAAAATATAAATTTATTCTCCAAGAAATGTGAGCAAGAGTATGTGCCAGGTATGCCGTGACCAAATCCCACGCTTTACGTGTAGTCAACTACAACGAGAGAATCCGAAACATGCAGCGTCCATCCGGACCATTTCAACAACATGGCTGGTTGGGAGTGTCAACTTCCGGCCTGCATCAGAGGCATAAAAGATGAACACAGAGGACACACTTTTAAAAAAACATCAATGAAGCACTAGAAAAGTTGGATTCTCCTTGTAAGGATAAAGTAAATACGATTAAAGAAAAGATTCTCTCGAAGTGGCGCGATCGTCTGACCCAATTTTCAGGCCATAGAACAAGATCAGAAGAGAGTGTAACTGAAATCAAGAAAAGAATACAAGAAGATGCTGAAAAAATAAAAGATTTAACCCATGCCATTCAGGCGGGGAAAATGATAGAAATCGAGACGATCAAAGCGAGTATGATAGGTAAAAGAACCGCAACATCAAAATTAATACTGTCCGCAAACACAAAGCCTTGTTACTGAATATGAAAATGAACGGCGATCTTATGAGAACCCAAGGCAACAAAAAGAAATTCTCCAGTCCAAAGTCTCGCAACCAGCATTTCAAATACCTGATACTCTGGTTATCATGATAAAAAGATCGAGAAAGGATAATGAAACTTTTTGGAAAATGATTATTGACAAGGGCTTTAAAACTAGACCTATTGAAAAATGTCATGTGAACAAAAAATTAAATAATTGGCAGAAAATTGTTTTACAGTAACTGATCAATGGCGGATTTTTAGAGATTAATAACAGTACATTAATGAAACTTTCTATGCATTTATTTCTTCTTAAGCAATTATAGACGAATTTCACATTCTTATTTCCCGTTGTCGGCGTAACACTCATTTTTGTCACTATATCCTTTGTAATTTACCTGTAAATATTTTCAACCTTCAAACGGAATCGGACAATTTTGACCCGTTCCTGAATTTCCTTAGTGTGGGACAACGTGAAAAACATACTAGACATATTCAAACGGATTTAATTTGCGAGATATTGCCCCCAAAAGTTGGTAATGTTATAAAGGGAAAACTGTGTTGCTGTCATATGAATATGACTAATCATAGTTTTTGTGGTCCCGTGAAAAAGATCTTTAAATTTTTTTCCTTTATATTCCCATGTAAAAGTTTGATCGCCCATAATGGCCCCACCCTAACCCTAGAGGTCATGATATAAAGAAATTCGAATTTACACTTTATCAGGAAGCTTTTACATAAGATTCATCTTCACTGTCCCAATGGTTATTTAGAAAAAGGTTTAAATGACCCCACCCAATTTGCACTATTTCTAAATTATCTCCTCTTGGAAGAGGGTGTGGCCTTTCATTTGAATAAAGTTGAATGACATTTACCGAACTCTGTGCCAAGTTTGGTTGAAATTATCTCAGGGGTTCTGTAGAAGAAGATGAAATTGTTAAAACAACACAGACAATTAACTGACAAATTTTGATTTTGGTGAGTTAACAAGATGCAAACGATTTTTTTTCTGTCAAATGTCAAAGTTACAAGCCAGAAAACTAGAAAGGCTACTGTGAGAAATCTATTGGGTTTTTTCCTCGATGACTGCAAAGTGTGGCATCATCTTTATGGCACTATATAAAACCTGGTCTGGCTTCAAACCTGGCCTGGCGTCGCCGGTGTAACGTAGAATATTGACCGGCGTATTGGAAGTGGTTCGAGCTGCGGGATATGGAGTTGATCCTTAACCCATTTGAATCCCCCGGGTGACTATGAGACAGGTCCTCCAAAGTGGGCTTAATAACAATGTTTAAGTGCGTGCTGACACGAAAAAAATCCCTCACTGGACGATGGAAAATACAGATCTAATTTTGAAGCCTTTAACTTGAAATATGAGTGAAAAGTTCTCGAAGGAAGGAAAAGAAAAGCAAAGTTGGTCTGGTCACTAATTTGGCTCTAACTCAAATTTATTTCAGGACTTGCCTATAAATATTGATGCAAATATGGCCTTTAATTTTTTTTTGGGGGGGGGGGGGCTATTGAAAATGATTTTTTAAAGGCAGAATCGTGTTTATTTTTTAAAATATTTTTATTTCAAAGTAAAAGAACAAAATTATATATGTTAAATGCTTTATTTATATTGTTTCTAAATGTGCATATTGAAATAATCTTGTAGGATTTTATTGGTTATCTATTTTAATATCGGGTTTTTATTCTTTTTTATCTTAATTTTTAAAACTTTTGAAGATCCTTGTTGTTTGCAAACATTTTAGACAAACACGCTTTTGATGACCTACCTGATATGACTATTCACTAGTGCAAGTCTCAAATTTTATTTGTGTTTCCAGGGTGTGGACATTGTAAATATTCTCTTCACATAATCAAAATTATTTAACATCACTAGTAGCAAATTGATTAAACAAATACACTTGTTAAATGATGAATCATAACCCATGCACAGCATTGTAGAGTCTAACTTCTTCGATCATTATTATTTGACATGAAGTATAGACGTTATTTTTTTTTAAATAATACCATAAACCAATACACATATAGATGAAAAATATTTTAATTGGTAAAAAGATAATGGTGTTCAAACTTTCAATCATTTGATAACTAGCTCTGCTAATGTTAAATAATGCAACCTAAAAATGTTATGGAATTTAGATCTTAGTGTATAATTATTACATTAATAATAATTAATAACTTTCTGCTCAGAAACATTGTAATACGATACAATAACATTAGGAAATAATCGATAACTACTGTACTCGGATATCAGATCGCACGCTTTGTAAAGAGTTTTACGCCTCAACCTTGTTTTAAAGATATCAAGATGAAAGATGAGTTTGATAACAGTGTAATATATAGCGGTGTATATGTAGTGAGCTGTTCCATTGTTTCTGTATGCTAGAATTTCCAAATTAAGCAAAGGTTGTAATCACAATCCCCTTAGCTACAAGGGGGTATATGATTTCATGTTTATTTTTTCCTGATGGGGAAAGCCAACTTCACTTTTTCTACCGGGATTGAA